ACGAGAGGAACCGTATACTTGCGCCTGGTCAAGTTCCGCAGCACCGGGTAAACAGGCATGCCACTTGATCGACGCTGTGAGCCGATCGCACACGCGGGTGTGCCGATCATAATTTGGCCCAGAGCTGTTCGCAGCCTGCGGGGCGACCGACGGCCTACTGGCGCACCTCCTGGCGCTCCACAGCTGGTGCGCGGACCTGCCTCAGCCGAGGAGATCGGGGGGCCGGGGGGAAAGGAGGCTACGCTGAGACGGTCGAGCTGGTTGCGGACGGCGCGCCCGTCTTCGCCGCCTTGGCCATGGCGCTGGTTCGACCGCCCTCGGGGAACGGCGTGGCCGGCCATCTCTGGCGTCTATCAGACCAGCTCCGCACCGAGCAGGTCGACGACATGCTGTGGTGCGTCGCCATAGACAGAAGGCCGACCCCATGGCGAAGGAGAGCATCGGCCGGGAATTCATTCTCGCTATCATGGGCGAGGAGCTCAGCTACGACCGCGACGCCATCAGCCTGAACGGGGAGCGACAAGAATAAGAAGACCGTGCCGAGATCCTGCCACAGCACTCTCGCCCACGTGGACTTGGGCGACCAGAATGGCGAAGTCGCCGGTTCGCCCGACTCCACGGGCATGAGCTCGCATTGACTATGTCAGCGCAGCTCGCGGTCCCAACGATGGTAAGGGGCGAAACATGCGCTTGCATCTCGCGAACTACGTCCGCGAATGCGACGTAATGAAGCACGCATGGAAAGAGGTGCTTTCACGAGCGATGTTCGGGGAACAAGCAGACGATATGAAAGTTGAGCATGTAAGTGGGTGAGATCGTGCTCCATCAATTTGCATGATGCCTGGCAACTTGTTTATGACGGGGCGTGGTCAGCACGACGTCTTTTCTTTGGCTTACATGTTGCTTCATTGGTTCATGCACGGGTTGCGTGCGTGGGCCGACGAGGCGCGACAGCTTCTCTTGAGCACCATACTCGGAGAGTAGGTTGATCCTCAATCTGCTTGTTCTCCCGTTGCGCCGCTTGGGTCGCGTAGGCTGACCCCGCCGCGCCCGTTATAGACGTGTGTCCTTGCAGTTGTTTCACGCCGTGTTTGATATGGGAAACATTCATCAGTTCCACATCCCAGATTGTTTAATTACGCTTCGCGAGCCCCCGCCAGCCCATCCAGAAACCTTGCCCACGAGAGCTGCCGGCAAATGTAAAGCGAGGCGCGTAGTAAAACAGAGCGGTCAACGAGAGGAGGGAAAAAGACGTGTTGAACCATGTCGGATGCTATCTTGGAGCGTCGGGGGCCTTCTTGGAGCTATGGGTTTTTTTGGGGGGTATTGAGGTCCTCATGGAGCTCTTTTGGGGCATCTTGGGCCCCTTTGTGGGCTCTTCAAGGGGGTTTTGGCGTCCTCTTGGGGCTCTTTTGGGGCGTGTCTGGGACCCGAGCGTGCCAGGCACGCCTGGTGCGCCAGATGCGCCACGTGCTCCGAGTGCGCCAGGTGTGCCGCACACTCCAGCAGCGCCAGGTGCGCAGCGTCTGGGGCACGTGCAGAGTGCGTCAGGTGCGCCTGCGCACGTGACAGCACACATCGGGAACCATGTCGGCCCTTGCCCTCCTTGCTGAAAATCGATTCCCCTCATTGTGTTTGGTGGGCCTGCGCACAGCAGGCCACGCGCCACCCCCCCCGCCGTCCCTGTCAAGAATAACTTGACAATGATCGCAGGTGGCCGCGCAAGATTCAGATTTAGCCGCGAGGTGCATATTGTATTGCTTCTGTTGTCAGGGATGGTAGCCCTGCGCACGGCAAGGAACATGCTGACACCCGGTCAACAACAATACAACATTTTCGCGGGCCTCACGAACATGACTCAATATTTTGTCTCAAAATATATGCTGCATTGTTTTTTGAAAGGGATGGTGGGGGGGCTGCCTCGGGTTGGCCACACATGCTCCAAATTTGGATGCTGAGTGCGGTGTGTATTGCTTTTTGACAGGGATGGTGGGGGGCGGGTCGGCATGGTGTCGGCATGGTGCCTGGTTGGCCCCCGGTCGCTTGGGGCAGGCGGGGTATTTCTATAAGGAACAGTGATCAAGACACCCTCCATATAGCAAGCTGTCTAGCTCATTCCCACCCGCCCTCCCAAAACATAAGTAACACCTGAGCCTCAGCATGTTCAGCGGTCGTCTTTGGATGGGCAGCTTCTGGGAACCAAAACCGAGCCCATGTGCGCGACGCTGGGGCGAGGTGCGCCACGCGTGCCAAGGGTGCCACGCGCGCCAGGCACCCCTGGGGCCCGAGCGTGCCAGGCACGCCTGGTGCACCAGATGCGCCACGTGCCTCTGATTGCGCCATGTGCGCCATGTTCGGGGCACGTGCACAGTGTGTCAGGTGCGCCTGCGCACGTGACAGCACACATCGGGAAACATGTCGCACTGTCGGCCCCCATCATCTTTGTCGAAAGTCAACACATACCCAGCATTGTGTCTGGTGGGCCTGCGCACGGCAGGCCATACACCACCACCCCCGCCGTCCCTGTCAAAAACCACTTGACAATGATCGCAGGTGACCGCGCATGATCCAGATTTAGCCGCGAGGTGCATTTTGTGTTGTGCTTTGTCTGGGATGCCAGTCCTGCGCATAGCAGGCAATGTGCTGACACCCCCGCCGTCCCTGTCAACAAACCATACGAAGTGCTCGCGGGCCTCACCGCGTCGGGTTGGCTGGGGGTGGTGGGGGGGGGCCGCATCGGGTTGACCGCGCATGCTCCAAATGTGGAGGCAAAGTGCGTTTTGTATTGTTTCTGACAAGGATGGTGGGGGGGAGCACGGTTCCTGGTTGGCTGCCGGTCGTTTGGGAGAGGGGGTGTATATCAATTGTGAAGAATGTTAAACCCTTCCGCGAAGGGGAAGAGGGGCTCTTGGAAGAGGGAAGAATAACATCGTTAAACCGCCTGCGCCCAGAGGGCTGGCGGGATTCTTAGTTTCGGTTCCCCCCTTAGCCTTTCGCCCCCCTCTCGCTCCCGCTGGCCGCGCTCGCATTTGTTTCTGGTTTCGGTTCCTCTGTCTCTTCGGCCTTTTGCATTCGCCTACCGAATTACGTTGCTCGCTGGCTCGATTTAGCGTGGCCTTTTTCAAGGCATCCCGCCTGGCCAGGAAGTGTCCGGTTCGGGCCGGTTCGGGTCGGTTTGGCGGCGGACCGGTTCGGTTGCAGCGGTTCGATTTCGGCGCGGGGTCTGGTTTTGGTCGGTCCGGTTTTGCCAGTCCGGGTCGGTTATGCCGGTTCGGTTCGGCGGTCGCGGGACGGTCCGGTTTTGGGGGGGCGGTCGGGTGGGGGGTTTTCGGCCGGTGAGGGTCGAGGGTTTGCCGGGGGGGGGGGGGGGGGGGGTGCCGGCACCGGTGGGGGGGGGGGGGGGGTTGGTTGCCGGGTGGCACGGGGGCGGCGGGGGTTGGTTGCCGAGCACCGGGGGGGGGGGGGTGCCCGCACCGGGGTGGGGGGGGTGCGTGCACGGGGGGGGGGGGGGGTGCCGGCACCGGGGGGGGGGGTGCCGGCACCGGGGGGGGGGGGGACGGCACCGGCTGCCCCGCGCTAAGCTGGCTGCGCGGATGCTCAGGATGCTTTCTCCTTGGCTTGTTAGACCTGTCGTTCCCTCCGTCTTCCCTCTCTTCGTCCCTCTCCTCCCCCCCTCCCTCCTCCTCCTCCTCCACCTCCCCGTCGCAGATATTCCACGACAGCCCCAAGAGGTTCCTAAGAGTTTCCCGAGACACCCCGAAAAGAAGAGGATGAGATTAGGTTCCCACAACCTTAAAAAACAAGAAGAGGTTCCCAAGAGAGGGCCCCAAGCAAATCTGAACTGAGCGCAAGCACTGCGTTGGGAAGGGCCTGAGTGCAAGCACTGCGTTGGGATCCTTCTGGCAAGAGCTTTGCGACATGAGTGCAAACGCAGGCGCTTTGTTGGCGGCCGCTTGCGTTCCGCTGCGGCAGAGCGTTCTCTCGACCATCATGTCCTTTGTTGCGGGAGGCAAAAGGTATCCGATGATTGCTATGCAGCCCCTCCTTTATGACTTCGCTTTCTCGAGGGATTTGGATGGATTATACAGATTGCTGCGCCGCGTGGCTTACACCGCATAGTTTCTCATCATATCGGACATAGCTTACGCAGCATAGCTTGCACCCCGTACCGCATGCGTTATACCGCGTATCGCACAGCGTACACCATCCATAGCTAGAGCCATATAGCCAACACCGTATATATATATATATATATTGTGCCGCACAGCTTACACCACATTTCGCTTGCACCACAGAGCGTAACCACATAAATGACACGATATAGGTGAAACTGAAGGGCTTGCACCACATAGATTGCGCCACGTCTATTATCCACAAGAACTCAATTACATAGATTGCACCACACAGATAACACCAACGCATTCAATGGTTGCATGATGCACTTAGGATTCCCCCCTTCTTCCTCATTCTTTCCTCCTCCTCCTTTCGTCTTCATCCGCTCCATCATCATTCACCCATTTACCGCCCATCCATCGTCGTGGGTGGGCTCGAGCGGCGGATGATTGCACCATTTCGGCGCGATGGAGGATGAGGGGGGGCGAATGGCCCGCTTCGCGTCCATCCTGTGGTCACCGCCTGGCCGGAGCCGCAGCCGCCCTGCTGCTGACGACTCGCAGATTCAGCGAGAGCTGAGGCCGCCGGTTCTGCCAGTTCAGCAGCGTCAGGGGCCACAGAGTCCAGAGCTGCGTCCTTCCTTCGCGCAGGTTCTGGAGACACTGAGACACGAACAGGAGTTTTGGGTTCTGGGAATCTCACAAAATATCAAAATAATGGGGGATTGATTCATCATGCTCCTTTCTGGAGTCACCGCTGCCCCATCATGTCTAAGAGGTGTTGAGGGTGGGAGGGGGGCGTCAGGGGCCCAGTAATCCCATAGCCTGCAAACAGGACCAAGCTGACGTGCAATTTTGGGCTGCTCAACTGGGCGTTCGTCGTGGTGTGGAAAACGCTGTCTCGCTAGCTCGCACGCTGCCGACTGCTGTTGTTGTTGATGATTCACCGCCTGGCCTGAGTGAGGCCGATGTGGGCATCGTTATGGAGCCCGGCCTGGATGTTTCCGCCAAAACGGGGATGGACGCCGAGAAGGAGATGGCCGCCGTTGCGGCGGTGGCGGGAGCTGCCCAGGAGGTGGGTTCGCCTGAGGCAGAAGATGTCGTGCAGGCCGTTGCTGAGGAGGCCGCCGCCGTGAATTCGGCGGATGGTGGTGGTGTGATGGACGACGTCGTTGTTGAAGCGGCTGCCGCTAGTTCTGATGATGCTGTGGCCGTTATTGATATTTGTGATTCTGATGTGGACGCTGTTCAGGCGACTCCACCAAATCATCCTCGTTCTCCTGTTCCTTCTCCTGCTCCTCCTCGTCTTCCTCCTCCTTTTCCTCCTCCCCCCCTCCCTCCCTTTGCCTCCTCTCCTTTCTCCTCCTCCTCCTCATCCTCACCCTCCCCCTTCTACTACCTTTTCCTTCTCTTCCTCCTCCTCCTCCTCGTCCCCGTCCTGATCCTCCTTCCCCTGGCCGAATTCGCTCAACCCCTTGCCCAGGAGGCTGCCTTGCGCAAAGGGAGCGGCTTGACGTCGAAGGAAGGTGGGAGATGGAGGTGCAAAGCACTTCCCGCGCAGGGCTGCTCCCAAGCCCCATTCGATTTAGCCCCAACGGTGCGGAGCACATAGGCGTGAGATATGACATGCCGACGCCTCATGCCGATGAATTGTCGATCATTGACTACGCAGCCACTCTCGGAACGAGAATATATCTAGTAGCCTTCGGTCTTCCCGCCGCCCTCGCAAAAACCTATTCTTGGTTGGGGTGGGGGTCTCGGGGGGCCCTTGGATTCATTTTCGGTTTCTCTTAAAGGGCGCTTTTGGGGGCTTTTTATCGGGGCCTTTCGATGGCTTTCGAGCGCCTTTTGGGAGCGTCTTGGCAAGGGGGGTTCTGGGGCTTCTCGGGGGCCCTTGGTGGGGCTTGCCGGCAGCATCGGGGGCCACGTTCAAGCTCATGATTAGACTTTCTTGTTCAAGCCCCTTGGGCCGCCTTGGAGCCCCTTGGGCCGTCTTGGAGCCCCTTGGGCCGTCTTGGAGCAATCTCGAAGGCTTCTCGGCGGGGGACGATTTAGAAGCCTGAAAAGGCGGCGACATTATCGTATGCTGTCTTCGGCAGTCCTGGGGCCCTCTTCTTAGACCTTGGACTTCGTGCTTGGCGGCGCGGTGGCGGATATCGGGGGATGTCAAGGTGTCCCCCGGCGATGGCGAGGGGACAATCGCGCTCCTCGGCCGTTTGAAGGGCATTGCCGCCGCTATCGTCGCATGATAATCGTTTGCGCCAGGCTTGGCCCTGCCGGTCCATAAAGGGTGCCCCATTAACAAGCGTTACCTTAATTATTTAGGGATTGCACGACAATCAAGCCTGGGGCGGAGGAGGGCAATATTGTTTTGTTGTTCGTTTTTGTCCAGAATGCGATTTGCGCGCGGGTGATGTGGACTGACTTTTGGAAGGGGGGAAGAAGAAGGGAAACGCTTGTTTGGGCACCCTTCGAGCGGTAGAGCGACAACTCATCGAATATGGATTCGAGACGTATCCAGGGATGATGCGCAACATTGCGGAAGATTCCCGTGGCCTGAGTGGCCGACCCGAGGCATTTAATTTTCTGTACGTCTGCTGGTGCTGATTGGGGCAGCGTGGGACGTTTGCCAGGGCAGCAGAAACATGTGATTGCTATCGTGGACCCCCAACAGTACTACATGTATATATGTATATCGATCGTTGGAAATATTTGCATACAATATATATATATATATATATATATGTATACAGTATATATGTTATGTGTGGCATCACGTGTATACACATGATGTGTACATACAAATACATGTGTACAAGTATGCCCCGTTGACCCCTGGCTCTGACCTTTTTGGGAGTAGGCCTCAAGAGGCTGAAAGGGGCCCTGGGGCGGCTGCTGTCGGGGGTGTGGCTGAAGGGGCCCTGGGTCTGATGTAAGGACCAGCGGTGATTGGGTGGCCACCGACAGCAGTCGACCCTCGGGCCCCTCGGGTACCTCCTCGTCTGGGCCAAGCGGCAAGCCACAACTGGAAGCAGCTCGTAATGCGGAGTCAGAAGAGTAGGGAAACATCTCTCACGCCAACCAAAGAGAGAGTGAGATCCTCTTCAGACTTGGTTTGAAGCGTCGATGCTGAAAATATGTGGCTAGAGAGCACAAGAGTAGCGAGCAGACGAGCCCAGAGAGGCTAGTCGCCCTGATCTCCATCCCTCTCGTTCATCATCATTCCTCAGACTCTTTCCGCCGTCCTCCCCCATCCACTTCGTGCTCTTACCCGGGGCGCATTATCAACCCGCGTGAAAGCATATGAGAGGGGGTTGATTCGTCCAGGTTGAACGAACAGCTTTGCATTGCTAGCCGTTTTGGCTCAAATCATTCTGAAGTCGGTCAGTTGTTGCACTTGTCATCGCTACTACTACTCTTCGCCTCTCGACAACCTCCTGCAGTCAGCATGGCGCCGAAGAAGGGCGCGAGGCAGGAGGCGGCGGAGTCGCCGCCGATGGACGATGATGCGGCGACGGAGCCGGGGGACCTTCCTGAAGTGATGGCGGAGGATTCCTTGATGGGTGAGGCGGCGGCGGAGGAGGAGGCTGCTGGCGGGGAATGGGGTGAGGCAGCGGCGGCGGAGGAGGAGGCTGCTGAGGAGGTCAGGCAGCCGCCGGCGAAGAAGCCAAAGACGAAGGCGCCCGCTCGTGATGCTGCCAGCAGGGTTGCCGCCGTCGCGCGCCCCAAGGCCAACTCCGGCGACAAGGGCAAGGGCGGCAAGAAGGGCGGCGGCAAGGGAGGAGGCAAGGGCGGCAAGAACGGCAAGGGCCGCGGCGGTGGCGCGCAGCAGCAAAATGGCGGCGAAGAGGTCGCGCCGGTGCTGTCGCATGAGAACTCCGCCGTCTTGGACGACATCAAGAGCAAGATCGAGACCGTCTTCTCGCAGGACATGTTCAATGGCATCTCGGAGGGCTTGGCGCTGGACATCGGCGCAGGTGGCACGATGGCTGGATTCGACAAAGCGCAGTTCGACAACGCGATGCAGAACGATGGTGGCGCATACACATGCCAGGGGAACCTGGCTTGGATCAATATTCAAAGCAGTGCTACCACCATGAACGGCGCCCCCCTGAGCAAGAAGAAAATCAAGCAGTACATCCAGCACTTCTTCGTCCGGCCCAACCCGATCGAGGTGGTGGTGCAGGCAAAATCAGGCGAGAACCCGATGGACCGCCTGGGGGATTTGAGCTTGCTTTCCCCGCCTGAGTCTGTCATCGCGTTTTACACTGCTATGTACGACGCGCACACCAATGGGGACGACCTCGAGCCGTGGAAGACGGCCCTCAAGACCTGCACGTTCAAGTTCCGCAAGATGGACAGCATCGACGACCAGCACTTCTTCCAGCTGCAGGTTCGCCAGGATGCCAGGGCGTTGGGCGAGGCGCATCGGTTCAAAAAAAAACCCTCCCCTTTACACTCCTTCCACTCCTCCTCCTCCTGTCCTCTTGTCTTCCTCCTCCTCTTAACTCATCCTCATCTTCTTTGTCGTAACTCTCCTCCTCCTCCTTCTTATCCCCAATCTTATCTCCCGTCATCCTTATCCTCCTCCCTCTTCCTCCACCGCCGCTGCAAGCCTCCCCCGGGCCCTCCCAGGCTCTCTCGTACACCGCTCGCCAGACCATCCTGGACATCATGAGCTTTAAGACGCGTAAGGAGAGGACCGCTGGCACCATGAGCGCCGCGGCTATCGCACAGGTCCACGGGGGGCCAATCGGGGAAAGGGGATAGAGGAGGACAAGGCGAAGAGGGATAGATAGATAGAGGAGGAAAGAGATGAGGAATTACCATCAGGAGGAGGAAGGATAAAGGAGGACAGAGTGAGGGCAAAAGTGGAGGAGGAAGGAGTGAGGACCGAGGTGCGACGAGGATGGGGAGGGATGGAGGAATAATAATGTGGAGGCGGAAAGGGGACTGAGAAAAGGGAAAGGGCGAGCGGGGGAAGGCGACGGCGAGGATTTTTCCTCGAAGGCCCCAGCCTGGGGCCAGCAAACTGCAACGCAGCAAGGGGCCCCAGCCTTGAAGGCCCCAGCCTGGGGCCAGCAAATGCACCAGGCACGCTGTTCCATCTTGCCGTGTACTGATAGTCTGACTGGCCTGAGGGAGGAGGAGGAGGAGGGAGGAGGGATGAGGAAGGAGGGGGAGGGAGGGGGATCCCCTGCTTCGTCCGGGGCGGGTATCTGTGGCAAAGCCCCCCCAGGCATGTCATTTGATGATGCATGTTTCCGCCGGCCCCCCGCGGAGGCATACAAGGATCACGTGACGTGGCATGGCAACGAGAACCCGACGAGCGGAGCGGCGATCGATTCGGCGATCACGGTGTTCAATCGCTTGCTGAGCGTCCCCCAGCTGATGCAACACATCATTGCGGCTGACGAGCACCCCACCATGCCCAACCCGTTCGATTCGATTACTAAGTTGCAGGAGGTGGTCAGCAAGGGGGGCGGGACCGTTGAGAACATGAACTGGGTACTCGAGCTGTTGCTTGATTTCTACTACAATGACGCGCTCACCCTCGAACAGATGGGCCTGAGGGCCCTGCAGGGCCGCACCGTGGCTGCAGGGGGCAAGGGACTCATCGAGTTGGCCGTGTACAAAAAACAGGGGCTGGCTTACCTGCTGAACGAGTGGCTCGAGACGTTGCATCTCAAGCCCGATGCGAAACAAGCGATCCGCGCCGCGTGCAAGGACGTCCCCACCTTCCGCAAGATGTGCGGCTACGCTTGGAACCCGAATGCCCCCAAGGTAAGCCGCCACTGGGCCACCGCCCTGACGCCGGTCGCGGAGCGAGCCCTGGACTTCATCGAGGCTCGCTCGTCGGGTCAACCTTGCTGCTGCTGCCTGCCGGTCCTCCTCATCATCCTTCTTCTTCTTCCACCCCCCTCCCCTCCTCCCCCTTCCCTCCTCCTCATTCTCTTCCTCATCTCCTCCCGCTGTTGCCTCCTTGCTGGGCCCGTGCCCCCCCTCTCTTGCCCTCCCCTCTTTCTTCCACATCATTTGCCCCTCCACCCTCCCTGCCCCCTCCTTCCCCAACATAAGGGGGGGCGGCGGTCGAGGGGGAGTCGAGGCGATCCGCCGATCCGCGATCCGAGAGGCCTACGTCTTTGGGTACGAGTACGACGGTTTGCTCCGCACGGGGCTCAAGAGGAGGGTTGATCACAAGGCTGTCATGGGCATGACTGGGGTCTCGGAGACTGTGAAGAGCATCGAAGAGGAGGCAGAGGTCGAGGCCAACCCAGACGGGGACGCCGCGGAGCAAGCAGCGCAAGAGCACGATGAAGGGGCCGATGGCACGGGGATGACCGAAGCAACGATGTCCTTGCGGGAATGCTCTGAGGTCCAGGTCCTCTACAGATCCTTGAGCACCAAGGACGAGAAGAAAGCCAAGAAAATCCAATACTACAGGTCCTATTCCGAGAGGCTCGTGGGAACCTATGTCGAGCTCATCGACGAGACCGAGCCGGACGACGCGATCCTGAAAGCCTTCGTCGAGTCGAATGCCTTCAAGAAGAAACCGAACGTGGAGAAGAAAGAGCACATGTTGATCAAGTATCACCCCAACTGTTGCGGAGAGTCCTCGTCAAAGCCCCACCTCCGCCCGCCCTCGTTGCGGGCCAACGGAGAGCATCTCAAGCGGGCGGTCAACATGGTTTTGCAGGCCGCCAACTTTCAGATCGAGGATCGGATGATCTTCATGCTGTTCGACGCGGGGAAAGAAGGAGTTCGGGTTTGGAAACTTCCCTGGGCCCCGCCCCCCACTTCTTCTTCACTCCTGGAGATCCCAAGCGAGCACAGTGGACCCCTTTTGGGTTCAAGTCTTGACGCTTCGCGTATCCCTGCCACCGCCAGCACATCCAGAAATGATATCCATGATGACAATTGTTTGGGTGAGGAGGGATGTTCAAGGAAGGAGGGAGGGCAGGAGAATAAGGAAAAAAACAATTAACGAGGAGGAACATGTGGCGGGGGAAAAGGAGGAGGGGGGGGAGTAGGCTGAGGAGGGGGAGGGAGAAGAATGAGGATGCGGATGAGTTGTTTATAGACCATAAATATAGTTGAGCCATCGTGATTGGGCGGATCTCGCGCAGGACTCAAGACTACGCTCACGGGGGCGCTGACCGACGAGAACAAGAAGTCCCTGGCGAGGAACATCCGCCCCATCTACATGATGTTCGAGCAGGACGGCCTCGAGGAGAGAACCGAGCGGTGCCGCGGGTTCACCGCTCTGAACCAAGTGGAACGCGTCTACTTGATCACCAGCGACGTCCTCGACCTCCCCCTGCGGGACCGTCTCCACTGGGACGGGAACAACCGAGGCAACATGGTGGGGCCGGTCGCACCTTTGAAGTGGGATTCCGATGACACTTGGAAAGCCACAGTGGCCAACAAAAAAGATATCATGGGCAAGCAGGGCAAAGTGCTCGTGGGGGGGGCCGGCCCTGAAACCGAGGGCGATCAGAAGAAGGAGGTGCAGCGCAAGAACACCGACGTGGAAGTCGTCTTCTACCACGCCCCGCCGATCACCTTGCATGAGGAGTGGGACCATGATTACAACGCCTCTTCA